AGGACTCTTATTTGGGATTACCCCACCTACATTCATCGCACGTTTGGTGTCCTTTGACTTGCGGTTTCAGGGTTGCTTTGGCGGTTCCTGCATGGGTTCGCGTTACGACAGTGGCCGGGTTGAAGCGGGGTTAGATTGAGGCTTAGGGTTTAGGGTTTGGGGGTCAGGGCTCTTTCGACACGTCCCATGAGGTGTAATAATATTATAAACGATAGGACAGTAACATACGTTGTGGACGGCATAGAGCTGTGCAGTGCGAGGCCAAGAAGCTGGCTAGTAGCCCGTCCTTGAACTTCGAGCACTGGTGGAAACCGTGTATGTCACTTTCCACCAGCAACTCCAAGGGTTTGTTCCAGGGCGGTGCATGACAGTCGCAGTGCGCCACCTGACATGCAGCTTCACATAGAACCTTTCCAGTCGGCCGTGGCATGGGTCTGCGCTCATCATTCCTACAAGTTGTCACCAGCATAGAGATCATGTCCAACGTCTCTGTGAAAAAAACACCATTCTCGGCCTCATCGCCAACATTGCAACATAAGAGCGGCGCTGACACTGCTTCTTGGCTTCTAATAAAACTAAACTACTGGTCAGTCCACTATCAGTAGTTTGTGAACCTGCTGTTTGATGCTGCTCTTCTCTAGGCGATCACCCCTACATGTACCAAAACGTTTCCCAACCTGAAAACTTCGATCCTTACATTCCAGCTGAACCCCAAAACCCTCCCTACCCCGACCCCCTAAACCCTAAACCCTCCCTAAACCCCCCGTAAGCTCCACAAGCCAGCAACTCCTGAATCGTAGACCCTAAAACCCTGAAAATTAACACGCTAAATGCCACCAAACTCCCGAATCCCCCATAGCTGAACCTAGAGACCCTGAAACCCTAAGCTAGCTTCCCCAGTCGCCCCTTTCGGAATAAAGGGTACCCTTTTTCCCAATATGCCGTGTTAAGAAGGAGACCCAAAGTACAAAAAAAAGGGCACAAGGGTACCACAAATTAGTGGTTTAGGGTTTAGGGTTTAGGGTTTAGGGTTTAGGGTTTAGGGTTCAAGGGTACCACAAATTAGTGAACCGGGCAAGCCATGTGGAGGGCTGCTTAGAGTATGATTTCTTTGAATAAGCCCTGTGGGGTTTTAGGGTTTGGGTATGTGGGATGGAGTTCAGGTAAATCTTAAATCCCATATGACTCCTGCACACTAAACCTTGGATGGCCCTAAGCCCTTAACTCCAAACACCCAAACCCAGGCAAGCTGTGCCCACGGCCGACGGCGCGGCCAAGCACAGCCATCGTTTCGCTTGCAGGCAGAGCCCATCGGGATCCTAGGGTGGTGGCTTTGGGGTTTAGGGTTTAGTCTTTTTTTTAGGGTTTAGGGTGTAGGCTGTGGGGTTTAGGGTTTAGGGTTTCGGCGTTGGGGTTTGGGGTAGGTTGTCACGGATCCTGCATGGATGCCCGAAATTATCCCAAGCCCTAATGCCTAAACCCCTAAACCCTAAACCCTGAAACCCCTAAACCCTGAAACCCCTAAACCCCTAAACCCTAAGCCCCTAAACCCCTAAACCGTAAGCCCTAAACCCCTAAACCCTGTCAAGCCTGAACCCTGAACCCTTAGCCCTGCTAACCGGGGCCACAGAGATGTAATCCAATAGAGCCCTACGGGACCGTTACAGAGCGAGCCGCCATTACGAATCGGGCAGGGGTAGAGGAGGCAAGGTTAGGAGGCCGTGAGGGCTTTGGGAAATCCTTACCTCGGCCCCGCTAACCGGGCCGAAGTGCACTCGCCTTCGAGGGGCTCTCAGGAGCTGCAGAGGCTTTGGCTGGCGGCATGGCGCGGGCTCAATGCAACGCCGGATGTCGGCTTACAGGGCGGAGGAGCAGCATAAGGGATCTAGGATAACGATATCATAATAACTTAAACCCTAAACTCATAATAACATAATATGTCCATGACAACAACAATGTCAGTAAGGGTGCTATAAAGCGGGCTGGAGCCCTGCAAGAACAAGCTCGATGGCTAGTATGGAATCCGACATGATAATGTTCGCTTCGCTAGGTATGTGGTTCGATGTATGCGGACAGGATATACGGTTTGGACTGGACACCCGAGCCCTATCTAGCAGACCCACCGTAAACAAGGCTGCTCAAGGAATGAATGTACTTATGATTTGTTGGGCTCTTTCTTGTCACCCTAAACCCTAAACCCTAAACCCTATACCGGCGCAGCTACTTGAGAAAAGCCTAAAATTACTACGGGCACCTGAAGCGCTACGGCTTGATGCCTCAGATACTCGGCACGTAGGTGGGCAAAGGCGGCCTCCGGCGACAGCAAAGACCACAGCTAATATAGGGGCCTTAATAATCAGAATAGGGTTTCGGGGTATATGATACTATAGTTATAATAATGAACCGTTATAATAAGGAACTCCTAAAATAGTACGGCTAATTATTAAGACCCCTATATTACGTTCCATGTGCATCAGTCTGGGGACCCCGAACACAGGAGTCGCTTGATGGTCACAAACACCACTCCGGGTGAAGTTCCGGAATCCCAAGTCCAAAACATACGGTTGATGATATAAATCCTGCATGACCTTGAGGGCCCTTAACTATGGGAATTATGGGATCTTCCTTATTATGGGTAGTGCAGGATTTATATCATCAGCCGAAGTAATGCAGACCCCTGATTGATTGCCTTGGGCCCTTCAAGAAAGGGAGCTTACTCATCAGTCTACATTGGGAGGTGGGCAACATACAGGTACTTCAAACTCCTGCTGCCACCAACACACAATGTACCAAGCCTTTCGTAAACACTAATCATTAATCCACACTACTATACTGAACTTCGACCCCTCGCACAAATTGTAATTTTAGCTGCTTCTTTGGGTTTATAGTAGCCAAAGATTAAAAAATATTTCTAAGTACCCCTAAGACTACGTCCTAAATGCAATCAGAGCCAAAAGGACCTCAAGCCCTGAACCCCGAAACGCAGGCTTCCGTGCAAGTCCTAGATGGTTTAGGGTTCAGTTTAGGGTTTAGTGTTTAGGGTTTAGGGTAGTGCCGCGAGATTTGCGGCCAAACGTCCGAACATCATGGCACTTTCCCCCCTTCCAAAAACAAACTGATAAGACTATAATTATAAATTGTGTAGAAGAACCCGAAAGTCAACGTCCTAGAGTCCTAGCCAAGTCCCCAAAATGGTCTTTGGCGATCAAAACCCCTACCCTTCATAGCCTCACTCGCCCCTAGACCCTAAACCACGCTGCCACGGTTGCCACGGTTTAGGATTCAGGGCTTGTTTTTTCTGTCGCCGCCAGCGCCGGCGGCGATCGAACTTCGAAGCTTCGCCAACTCTTCTTCGGCACAAAGACCTGGGTCCCGGTTTAGGGTTTGGGGCTGAGGGTTTTATGGTTTAGCACTTCAGAGGTTGGAGCTTTGGTTTCTCAAAGATTAAGCTTTATAGGGTTGAGGAGCTTTACAGGGTTTGATGAGTTGTACAGATTTGGTTTATTTTTACGTACATACATTCATACTTATATTCATCTATTCATCCATCCATCCATCCATCCATCCACCCATCCATGCATGCATGCATGCATGCATGCATGCATGCATGCATGCATGCATGCATGCATACATGCACACAGGCATACATACACGCACACACACACACACACATATATATATATATATGTAGACGCACATATAGACAGACAGACAGACAGGCAAGCAGGCAGGTAGGCAGCCAGGCAGACATACATATAAACTCACTGATACATATATATATATATGTATATAGATATACGTCTACATAAACATATACATAAACATATACATACAATTCTACATATACATACATATATATATATATATGTAATACGAAACTCCTATACGGGTGTCTGAAGTAGTTTATGAAGTCTTGTTATTTTGTTCAGTAGGCTGCGCAAAGGTGTTGGAAATTAACACCGAGGGTTTTCGGGGTGGAGGCTCCGAACCCTATGCAAGGAGCCCTAAATCTAGATGTTTTTAGGGTTCCCTCAACTGGCTATATTGGGGTTTAGGGTTCTACTTGGAGGCCCAGGGGACTTAGTAAGTCCGTTATAAATAGGGTTATAATTGGGGTAACTCCAGTTACGGGGACTTATAACTCTACTTATAACCTACTTACTAAGTCCCCTGGGCCTCCAAGTAGGGTCTAAAGCCTAAACCCTAAACCCTAAACCCTAATTTCGAGGATCGCTTTTTCTCGGCTGGGGCTCTGGCGCTTTGCTCTTTCTTCCGCCAATGCGGCCTCCGCTGCGAGGGAAGCAAAAAGAGAGCTTCGGGCTTGCGAAGGGTTTAGGGTTGAGGGGTTGAGGGGTTGAGGGGTTTAGGGGTTTAGGGGTTTAGGGGTTTAGGGTTGTTTTTTTAAAGTTGGGTTCGACTCTTTCGTGTCTGCCAAGCAAGGCTCCCAACAAAGCACTGCTTCTTACAGCGCCCCTACTAGGGTTTAGGGTTTAGGGTTTAGGGTTTAGGCCCCATGCGCTGAAGCTGGATGGCTTCTTGGACTCTTTTGGGTTTCCTGGTATTGGGTTAAGGGTTCTCAGGGGCTGAAGGTTCTCCTTCAAGTTTATAAGGCTTAGGAATCGTTCAGGCTTTCAGGTGCAGGATTGATTTCAGATAAATTTCGTGCGAATTGTTCGTTCCCTACACATAGACTCTTGCACCTGCAAGGCTGTCATCCCCAAACTCACAACCCTAAACCCCGAAATTATTCGTGTTTATGCTTCACAGCTGTTCAGAGCTAAACCGGCTCTGGATCCTCCGCGTCTGCTAAGCGAGTTGGTAGCTGCACCAGCGCCAGGAGCTCGCCAGGTAAATATGGGACCTGCCGGGCATCTTACCCAGAATGTTCTTTTCTGCGATCAGTATGGAATCCAGTCCCAAAAGACCATTTTTCTTTTGGCTTTGGGGCTTTGGGGACCTAATTCCATAATGGTAGTGTATACGGACCCTCTAGGTTATAATCAAAGTGATTAGCCGGTCATTAGCCTTAGCAGTCAAGGACACATAAAACGACATGTTGAGACTGCTGCATGTAGTACCTAGGCAGTAATTCTTGTTGTTGCCGTTATGATTACTATCCGTCACTTTTGAAACGAGTGAGAGAATACGGTTTAGGTTTTATAGGCCCTTGGGGTGAAAAGTATGACCGAGGGTATATGTCTTCCTGAGCACTAAACCCTTAAGGCGCGCAACCGCCTGCCACAGCCCCTGCACCGCAGCAGAGACCGCTGCCGCAGTGGCGAAAGAGTAGCTCAAGAGTCCCAGGCAACCTTTGTCAGGCTTTCCCGAGTCTTAGGTTGAGGGCTCAAGGTCTAGGACCTCCTTAACGTTAGCATAGGGTCTCGTAAGGCTCTACGAGGACATTTCGATGTGTATCAGGTTCAGGATTTAGATCTACTTGGAGGCCCAGGGGACTTAGTAAGTAGGTTATAAGTAGAGTTATAAGTACCCTAACTGGAATTACCCCCAATTATAACCCTACATATAACCGACTTACTAAGTCCCCTGGGCCTCCAAGACTCTAGGGCTTTGGGAATAGAGGGTTTGAGTGTGCAGCCTTCGTTGCAGCAGCGGTTGAGCGTCGGTCTATGATTCAGGACTGGGACAGGGACGGGCACCTTTGCTTGAAGGATCATGGGACTTCGCAACGAGGGGCATCTATAAGGGAAGAATACCAGTTCACTACTTACAACATTTTATAACCACAGTTGAGGTACCTGTACTCGTACTTACGCAGTCCCTTGATCTGATACATAGGCTCACGGTTTCCGGTCGTCGAATTGGGGCTTGGCAATTCAGCAGTTCAGATTGCAGGGACAGAGGAGATAATGTAGGATCCTGATTAAGAAATCCCGGCCCTATGAGGTTTAGGGTTTAGGGTTTAGGGTTTTGGCATTTTAAAAAAGGAACCCTAGTAAGGACCCAGGGTTTCTTTATCAGGTTCCTGTATTATTACCGAGGAGAACCTGGACGACTCCCCAGGCAGTCGTAATCCGAGACCCTAAACCCGAAACCCCTAAACCTTAAACCCTAAACCCGAAACCCCTAAACAGTAACCCCAAGCGGTTGAGGCAGTTGGACCCTTAGCCTTCTAGGCTTCGCGCAGGTCGAGCTACCACTCGCAGGCTCAACAGACCGCACACCCCGAACCCTGAACCCTAACTGGACCCTAAAAGCCGACGCTCTTAAAGACTTATATAAGGAAATCATAATAAGGAGCCCTAAGTAGGTTATTTAGGGTCTCGGTCTATAGGTATAAGCTAGACTGGGCTAGACTGCAACAAACCCTAACTCCTAAACCCCACACCATGCATATGAGCCCGAAGCAAATCATGTAGAGGCCTTACTATTTTGAATAGGGTTTAAGTGGTTCCTTATTATGATTATGGCATAATATACCCCAAACCCTATTCTAATTATTAAGGCACCTAGATTAAGCCATGAATATCAGCCCGGAATCTCCTTTACCCTAATTTAAACCCTACACCGCAAGCAAGGGCAAGGCACGCGCCAGGAAGTCACAGCCAGTAAGGTCCTTCCCATGCGCAACTAGGATCCTCAATAACCCTAAACCCTAAACCCTAAGCCCTTAACCCTAAACCCTAAACCCTAAATCCTAAACCCTAAACCCTAAGCCCTAAACCCTAAGCCCGAAACCCTAAGCCCCAAACCCTAAACCCTCAATAACTG